AGATTGGATGAGTATTCAACTTCACTGCATTACTGCTAGAGAATTCAATTGTTATCCCAACCAGTTGATATCAATTTAATTCCTAAGAGTTATGTACTTGTTTTGAGTATCTAATGTAGAAGTTGTAACCAAGTTCATTTACGAAACGGTCTAAATGAATGATATACTGAACGTATGTCCTCTTGATATATTTAACACTTCGTAACTGACTGAATATATACCTTTTGTATTCTGATAACCCTCTCGATAAGATCGGTTAGGTTTATATGCATATTTTATGTATTAATAAATGTATCCTCGTGTATTAATACCTGTGTGTGTGTGCGTTGTTTGAGTTATATCGCATGGTTGGATTCTAAGGCCATTAAAAGAATCATTTTGTGATTTACTGCTACAATTTATAATTGTCCCAGTAAATGCACAAACCCTACAGAACTGGTGCCTTCAGAGAGCACACTACACACCTCAGACCCACAGTCACCCTCTGTGCATAGAGACTTTCTACTAGTCATCTGGACTACTAGTAGATCCCTGAGAGAGACACTGTCGGCGCGTCGCCACAGCAGAAATCTCTCCACCTAATTCATCTGACTCTGAGCTGCACCCTGAGTGGTTGGCTGGGAGCCAGAGAACGCCGGGACTAAGCCTATTGAATGCCACAGCGATTGGATGCAGCCTCTAGCTGGTCTTTGGTGTCCGTGCCTGGAAATATGAATCCATATCTGGATAGATAAACCCAATGTCGAGAATTCAATTGTTACCTCAACACAAGTTGATATCAATTCAATTCATGTGAGTAATGTATTTACTTTTGAGTAGCTAATGTTAACTGATTAATGATAGTATAGCCAAACTGTATACTGAAGCATATTCTTGTTTGTTTCTCTATGTGTTTTGCATCTCTTCTCTTTATCCAGGCAGACTGTTATGTGTTTTATATGCACAATTTATGTATTAATAAGTGTATCTTGTTTATTGAATCTATGTGTGTGCATCGCTGATCGATTTATTTTCTAATAGCCATAATGAATCACCTCGTGATTACTGCTACAGTAATAAATTGTCCCAGTAAATTCATAAAACCCCTACATGTGTGTTGAGTCAGCTTGGGTGTGAAAGAAACTTTGTTAGCTTCTAGAAATGCAAGACTAAGTGAATGTGAGGCCTAGCCTTGTGAAGTCAGAAGGATGATGTTAGCAGCCTGAGGTAGACCTTTGTAGTCCAAGGCTGGCTGGGTGTGAGAGGACCCCACTCTTCAAGGAGCAGAGGAGAAGGAAGCTCTGTAGGTGTCATCAGGAGGAAGCCACTCCAGATGAGTGAGGTAGGTAAAAGCTAGGAAGATCTCTAAAGAGATGGTGCCACCTGTCCAGCTGGATGGGGGGTCCATGATACGCACCACTATCAGAGGAGAGTGAGTGTTAAGAGAGACTAAATGCAGAGACTGCGCGTGCAAATATAGAAAAAGAATGCAAAAAGATTCCCCAACAAGCAAAAAGGGGTGTGTCTGGAGCGATGAACATGCCCACGATCAGTGAACGGTAGCCATTACCCCCCTTGCATCACATGATCTAGATTCCGGTATGGTTAATAAACTAGTCAAGTTTGCAGATGATTCCAAAATAGGAGAATTAGCTCAAACTGTATTAGTAGCAAACAAAAAAACAAAAAAGATGTAGCAGTGACTTGGCAAGACTGGACAAAAACATGGAAGATTACATTTAATATAGATAAGTGCAGGGTTTTGCATGCAGCTGGTTAAACTCAATATATCCATTTTGTAATCTGCTTTTCTAGTACAGGGTGGGGGGGAGCCAGAGCCTACGCCAACAAGCAATGAAAATAAAGCAAGATACAACCTGGATGGAAGCCAGTTCATTCCAGAGCACACACAGAACAAACACAAACTTAAACATTCTCACAATAAGATTTTTACAAAAATCAATTAAAGACTGATTATTTTCAGACTGATTATTAAACATATATATATAGAGATATAGAAATGATTTACAAATTTCCAATTAAGCACAAAATCGTGAACTTTGTGAACGGGCAAGAGTGAGAGTTCCCATGAACTGTGACATTATGTGGCCTCTTCCTGCTCACTAATCATTGTAATGGCTACTGCAACCAGAGCCGGTCCAGGCTCCCGTGAAACTTAGTTCAGGACCCTGTGCAGACGGTATAATCCGGAAGTAAGTCGAAAGGACAACAGGGAGGAGACGACGAGGATCATGGCAGGTTAACAAACAGAGGGGCGTGACGAAAGTGAACTGGTGCTCGGGGGGAGTGGCCACGGCAAACAAGTCCAACGGAGTCCAGGGGGAGATCCAGGGCGAAGTCCAAGGTCCAAATCCGGTTGATCCATCTGAGATAGGACAAAACAGAGTTAAAAGCTGGAATGGGATCCAGTACAGGGATGGGGAATAAAAACGGGATGACGAGGCCAGGCGCTCTGAGCCCCGGACTCAGCTGGGTCAGGACGCCGTTAGGAAGCCTATGCCCTCAAGCCGTGGATGTAGGGCGACTTGATGGTAGGCAGGCCTCAGGCATTCGTCTTCCAGTGCAGAGCCCAGATTGGTGAGAGCGCCCAGCATAAATAAGGAGGGGCAAGATTGAGGGCAGGTACACGGCATCATAAATGTGAAAGAGCTGGAGTGCCCTTAAGAGGAGGGATTACGATCGTGACACTACTGTAGCACGATGTATGAGCGAATTTCACTGCTGAAATGTTCCATTGTTACCTGCGTGCAGAGTTAACACGTAGTATTTGTCGGCAAAACTATCTTGAAGTCAAGAGCAACATTTCTATCACATTAAAAGAGATGTATACTCAAACCTGCTTGTTTAGAATAAAATCGGGTTACTTCACATCACTAAACATTTTGTTGCCTCATTCTGAATTGCAGAATATGGCGCTGCTTATTCCCGGAATTTTCATTTGTTACTGTGTCCATTTTACTTTAATTGTGATTTGAAATGCACTCATCAATGCTGATTCTTTCTAACCCCAAAATATAAATATACCGTTGCAGTTACCCTTTAACCATTACGAATGTCTTTGGACTGTGGCAGGAAAACGTAGCACCCAGAGAAAACTTTGGTATACAACCCTCATGCAGGTAACACCCCAGGAACTGAACCTGAGGCCCCGGCACTGTGAAGAAGCAATGTTTAACACTGCACCACTGTATCACCCAGAAGTTAAAATATAAATACAGACTGGAAAACACTAAGCTAGAAGAAGCTACTCATGATAAGACATCTGTGTTTATGTTGGTACATTGCTTACATCTTCCAGATGATGTGGGGAGAAATTAAAAAGGAAAATAAAATGTTTGGCTGTATTAAAAGCTTAAAATTGAAATTAAGGGATGTCATGTTAAAATTGTGTATTGCGGTAGTTAGGTCTCATTTAGAATACCGTGTAAAATGGTGATTATCACATTACAAAAAAAATATTACTGCTTTGAAATGAGTCCAGAGAATAACAGATGCTTTCTGGGTCTTCAAGGAATATTCTACACAGAGGCTGAAAAAACTTTTTTAGTCTCGAAAAACAATATTAAGGGACCGGATACAAATATTAAAAATTCTCACAGAAATTGACAATGTCAACCCAGAGGACTTCTTCAGAATAAACAATGAAACACAAACCAGAGGGCACACGTGGATACTACATGGAAGTGTATTTAACAACAACAGAAGGCACTTCTCTACCCAGAGGGTTGTGGTAGTGTGAAACAAGCTAACCATGTGATTGAGGCTGATACTTTGACTTAATTCAAGAAACTGCTGGATGAGATTCTAGGATCAATTACAGTAAATACTATCAAATGAGCAAAATGGGCTTAATGGCCTCCTCTCATTTGAAACATTTCTATGTACAGTTCAGTTTATTGCCATATGCACAAGTGCAATGCGTATTTGCATGTATGTTCCAAAGACATTAAGAAAATACCAAAAACATAAACACAGAACAGAGGCAGCAACAAAAAGTTAAAGAACATACAACTTTAAAAAAACATCAGTGTGAGCCAGTGGTAGGGGTAATTAAAACATCGCGAAACTGATATTAACATGTCAATTGCAATTACATTCCGTGCATTTTGTTTTGGTGAGCAGAACAGAAATATCCTTAGTAATAACCAGAATCGGATAACTCTGATTTTCCATCCTATACATGCTGCTGTGGGATATGCATTTCAACAAACACAGAAATCACGTAAGTGGAAACAGTAATACTCTAAATTTTTGGAATGGTATAACACACACTGTTCTCCCATCGGTGACTTCTGAGAAAAACATAGATTGTAATTTACTGATTACACAGAGAGCAAAATCTAGTAATTGACAAATCTTCGCCATTGTAATTGAAATAAAGCACGTAATTTACTCATTTTGTGGTGTCGAGTCCTGATAAATTCCCATTTCTTAGGCACTCATAAGGTCGTTTGATTAAGTTTAGGAACGCACCCCCTGCTGCACTTGCTTGCAGCTCAAATACTATGCACAACTCTATGAAAGGAATTATGGGTACGTCGCGTAATGGCAGTCGAAGAACGAGCAACTGTGCAAAACATCTCGAATCTGCTCATTTGCACAGAATTCTGCGACAGTGACGTCACGCAGCAGCGCGCCAGCAGTTTCAGACGCTATAGTTCCTGCAGCTGCTGGCCAATCGGTAGCAGAGCTCTCCTGGGTCCCATGGCTATGGCCTGGCCAATCCGCTTCAAGCTTGATGCTCCTAGTCTTACTGTCCGGCGGAGGCTGCTGTGAACGCTGGCGGGAGCGAGTTTCTTTCTTTCTCTCGGGCAGACCGCGAAGGGAACGGGTTTGTGACGTTTGGAGGGAAACATATTTTTGAAACTTTTCATACGCTTTCTGTCCGGATCTGAAGGTTTGAGTCCCCCCTCTTGTCAGGAACAAAAAACTTCGAAAACCTTTGGTGTGTGGATGCAGAAAATGAAGATCTGGTACCAAGACTCATTTTAAATAAGCGACGTATAAATACAGGAAATTATTCACTTTCGTAAGGAAAAAATATACTTTTTAGTTTTAGTAAGGAGCTGTCACCCCCTGTTAGAGCGCACGGTTCTCTGTAACTAGATCCTCAGCAGTGCAAAGACGGGATTTGGGGGTTTCTACGCAGTTTTGTCCCTTTGAGTGACTCGGATAATTATTGTTTTGCACCGCGAGTTGGCCGGGCAGCTGCAGAAATGGCGAAGGTGCAAGTGCTGAACGTTGCCGTCCTGGACAACCCGAGTCCCTTCGGAAACCCCTTCCAGTTTGAAATCACTTTCGAGTGCATGGAAGACCTTCCCGAAGGTAAGCGCATCTCCCTTGGGCTGCGGATGTCGGGCAGCCTTTTTTCTGCCTTATCTCAGGTGCAAAGTGCGTCCTGCCGAAATGGCGGGGAGAAATCGTAGGTACTCAAGGGGCGAGCACATTTCTAATTTTGTTGCATGAGCTGGTGTGACACTTTGCTGTTCAGATTTTAGGTGGAGTAGAAAGCCTATCGTAAAGCGCTGTTATGAAAAACTATTATAATCTTATAATCTATTGTTTGCTAGTACTTTGAAGCAATTTAGTTTTGTAGTTGAACGAATTTATAATAGTTGTAACTTGAGCATTTTCCAACATTTTTACAGATAAATTGTTTCATTCTCGTAGATTTTCAAGAAACGTCAGGGCTATATTATATCAGTTAGGTGAACAGGCCTAACTAGTTCACCCGCAGTCTAACAGTCAAAATGCAAGCAATTTAAAGTAACTGATTCTCTGAGATTTATGACGGCGATAATTCGTTTGATTCTTTCTCTGGTTAGAAGCATTTCGCTTTTTTCTTAATTATACTTGTATGTCCTTTCCATTACTTAGTTTAAAGATGGTAATCTTTGAATTTTGGCGCCGGCGGGGACTTAAAGCAAGCGAGCAGAAAAAAATTCTAGAATCCATGCCTCTTCTATCTGATTGGGCGGCTGATGATACGGGGGCGTGTGTTTTAGCATCTGTTGTGTATCCGATTGGTTCCTAAGCGAGTTACTATGACTGTAGCTCCTGATTGAATGGAAATTGCGGGAGTAGCTTTTGTTTCACGCAGAGCTAGAGGTAGTATTCTGCAACCACATTAATTTGACGCCGAGACGGTTGGTGTCTTCATTTTGAAGTTTCCAAGTTACTCATTAGTAACTTAGAGGTATTCAAATAAAGAATTGTTTATCCGAAGCTGCTTGGTAATATTCATAAGTAAATATAACGTTCAATGTTTCAATGAAACATTTACTTCTTAAAGTTTATATTAAAATATTCTGGGTATTGAAGACTGTTCAAAAACAAATATATTCACTGTGACAGTTTGGATTATATTTTCATTTTAATAAACTGTATGATTAATTGTACCTTTGTAACGTGTTAATTTGTAGTGGGGCAATATTGGTTTCCGTCTGAATATATTTAGTTGTTTTAATTAAACACATTTAATGTCTTGCAGTAATTCTGAAAATTAACATTTTCAATGTTACTTTATCTTTTGCTGTGCTGCGATATTCTGGCGCCCAAGATCAAAGCTTTTAGAGTTCAGTCATACCAGTTCAAGCCCGTTTAACTTTAAGATGGCATTGTATTTGTGTAGGAACAAGTGTCACAACCGAAGAAGGCTCCACAGCCGAAACGTTGTTTTCTTCTTTATTCAGCATGGAGTAAACCTATTACTTGTTCCTTTGCAGCCTATGCATGCTGACATAGCTACACACCTAAACTATTTCATTGTATTTGTGTTTAAAATTCCTGCTCGACAGTTGGTGGGTTTTTAAGTAATTTGATTACATAGTGATTTTTGGACATTCATGATTTTATATAATGAATGGGCTGTTCCAAATGTTGGAAAAGACCCTTTACCTAATTTTAAGTTAAGTGGCACGTTGGTGTAATGGCTGAGGCGTGTGCCTTGTGTGCTAGAGGTTGGGGGTTCAAACCCAGCTGTCACCATGATTTTCAGGGCGTGGTGGTGCGGTGGCTCTGTGGCTAAGGATCTGCACCTGTGGCTGGAAGGTTGCTGGTTCAAACCCTGTGGCTGGCAGAGGAATCCTACTCTGTTGGGCCCCTGAGCAAGGCCCTTAACCCCAACTGCTCCAGGAGTGCTGTATAAATGGCTGACTCTGCCCTCTGACCCCAAGCTTCTCTCCCTGTCTGTGTCTCATGGAGAGCAAGCTGGGGTATGCGAAAAGACAAATTCCTAATATATGAAATTGTATATGGCCAATAAAGTGATCTGATCTTTTATCCATTAACATGACAGCCTTGGGGTGGCACTTCGGTATTAATTGTAATACGTTTCAGATGTCTGAGCACCCTGAATCAGCGTGCGCTGTTACAGTGATCACATGTAGCTAGGTCTTTCATACGAGGCTGAAGTTGGCTTCTTATTTGTGTTTTTCTTTCCACCTTAAATGCTGCTGCTGTGATGTTATATCGCCTTTCGCCTGTAGATGGGTCTCTTCGGTCAGTACTAATCCAGATGGAATACTGTAGACATAATAATAAAAACATCACTTTATTAACCCTTTACAATTTCTTGCATTAGGAATTATCTTTTCACATACCCATGCATTTTCTCCATGAGACACACAGCAATGATAGGGAGAGAGCCTGGGGTCTGCCATTGTGCGGCGCCCCTGGAGCAGTTAGGGTTAAGGGAGTAGGATTCCTCTGCCGGCTGTGGGATTTGAACCGGCAACCTTCCAGCCACAGGCACAAATCCTTAGCCACAGAGCCACCGCTCCGCCCCAGACTTCCTCAGTGAAAGAGAATATCCAAATAAATGGCAACTGTCCAGAAAATCGCAAACCAATTTTAAAAACTCAGAATTACACGAACTTACACTGGGAGAAGGTGATTGCACTTTCTGCTTATTATTACGGTCCTCCCCCCAATTATAAAATCGTCTCACAGTTCTGACACTGAGGTGTGAGTGTCAATGTTACAGGCTCTCGAAATCCTGAACTTCAGGAAATTTTACTGTTCAGAGGGTCATCTTTAAAAAAACGTACGTGGCATGTGAGAATGCATTGGGAAAAGCTGATTGCACTTTTGCTGTATTGCTGTATGTCCCTCCCCCCCGATTGCAAAATCGTCTCACAATTCTGACACCGAGGTGTGAGAGTCAATGTGACAGACTGTCAAAATCCTGAAGTATAATACATTTTACTGTACCTTCATTTAAAATATGACCATCTGAACATGGCATGAGAGAACACATTGGCAAATGGTGATTGCACTTTCTGCTGTATTGCTGTGGCCCTCCCTCCTGATTGCAAAATCGTCTCGCAATTCTGACACCAAGGTGTGAGAGACAGTGACAGACTGTCAAAACCCTGAAGTACAAGAAATTTTACTGTACCATTTTTTTAAATATGACCCTCTGAACGTGGCATGTAAGAAGACATTGGCAAACAGTGATTTCACTTTCTGCTGAATTGCTTTGGCCCTCCCTCCTGATTATAAAAACATCTCAAAATTCTGACACTGGGATGTGAGACACAATGTAACGGACTATGCAAATTATGTCCAAATTGCACACTTGTAATTACAAAACTTCACTGTTGCATTTCTGCGTTGTGACATTCTGCACATGGCATGTTAAAGTATATAGAAAACCTAGATCAGGACAGGCTAACTGCAACTCATAGTGATTTGTCATTGTCTTACTTTCTGAATGAAAAATGTATTTTTTCAGTGATTAGGACACTTTGTTATGGCATAAAATATGCTTCAGTGCCAGAATAAATAATCATAGAAAAATGCGCACAGTGGACATTCGTAGTTGCGTTTACCATCCAGGCCGCCTGTTTAGATCACAGAATGCAGGTCTTCTTCAAATTCCCCAAATTAATAAAATAACAGTTGGCGGTAAAGCCTTTAGTTACAGGGCCCCTAGCTTATGGAACAGTCTCCCACCCCATATTCAGGATGCTGAGTCAATCTCTGTATTCAAATCCACACTGAAGACCTATTGCTTCAGCTTAGCCTACTCACACCTTACATTATAGCCTGCTGCAACCATTGCTGCAGGTGCTGCTGTACATGCCATTGTGTGTCTCCGTGTTGGCCCACCAGGTAGATACATCTGTTCTGACCAAACTATCCTATTCTCTTCCCTACATGTCCGGATGGTGCCTGGGCTGGGCACCATCTGAGTTGGATGCTGCATCACTGCAGTGGATCCAAGAGGGCCATCGTGGATATAGCTATTGTTAGGAGGAATTTACTGGTCTGCAGAGATCTGCATGGAGTACTAACACACAGAAGACATGGAGAGATGGATTAATTGTTTTTTTTAAATAATATAATGTTAGGATGCCCAAAGGGGTTGGGCAGCCAGTTGACCTTGGCCCCCTAGAGTTTTTTTTTCCTTACTAAGGAGTTTTTGGTTCCTCTTCTCCGTTGTCTTCTGAATTGAAGTATAGGAAGTAATAGAATCTTTTGGTAAAAGCGGTTGAGATCGACTTGGGATTGCAGGATGTCCAGCTTCTTCTGGACTAGTACAAATGTGTACAAATGTATGATGTGGAGCTGTTACCCATAAAAAGTCCTTAACTTTTTTGATGTTGTCACCATAGATAAACTGCAGTCAGCAAAGATAAAGATAATTATCTTTCCTGACTGCCCTATCTTTCTTACACCTGAAGAAGGTTCCAAAGCCGCAAAGTTGATTCCTTTCTTCTTTTTTCAACATGGAATAAACCTATTACTTTTTCCTTTGCAGCCTATGCATGCTGACACAGCTACCCACCTGCTATATAACATTCCTATAATAACTATGAATGACCACTGTGGGCATTTTTCCATGATTATTTATTCTGGCATTGAAGCATATTTTATGCCATACTAAAGTTGCAGTTAGCCTGTCCTGATCTGTCCTGTCCTGGTTTTCTATATACTTTAACATGCCATGTGCAGAATGTCACAACACAGAAATGCAACAGTGAAGTGTTGTGAGTACAAATGACTGATTTTGCCTCTCTTACCTTAGTGTCGCAATATTAAGATGTTTTGGTCATGAGGAAAGAGGGACAAAGCAAATCGGCAGAAGGTGCGCTATATGGTTGACTATAAATCCTCACATGCCAAGTTCACAGGGTCATATTTAAAAAATGGTACAGTAATTTTTCTTTCACCTCAGGATTTTGACAGTGTCACATTCTCTCACCTCAGTTTCAGAATTATGAGACAATTTTGTAATCAGTAGGGAGGGACACAGCAATTCAGCAGAAAGTGTAATCACCATTTGCCAATGTATTCTCTCATGTCATGTTCACAGGGTCATATGTAAAAAAACAGTACAGTACAATTTCTTGTACTTCAGGGTTTTGACAGTCTTGTTACATTGTCTCTCATATCTCAGTGTCAGAATTTAGAGACGTTTTTATAACCAGGGGGTAGGTTCATAGCAATAAGCAGAAAGTGCCGTCACTCTTTGCTCATCCTTGGTTAACCATATATTCTCATATGCCATGTTCTAAATGTCCCATTTAGTACTGCTATATTAAAATGTCTTGTAAAATGCAATAATTTTAGACTTTTAATGATCAGGAGGCAAGGTTGTGGTAAATATGCAGAAAGTGCCAGTGAATTCATGTTTTGTCTTTGTCTTATTTACTCGTTGTCTAACATGCGAGTTTGTGTTATTGTGTGTTTTGAAAATTGGTTTTTGATTTTCTTAAATGTTTCATACAAAAATGCAAGTTCGACAGTTACTATTTACTTACATATTCCCCTTTACTGCAGATATGTAGAGTAATCCATCTGGATTAGTACATTTAAAAATGACCGTAGAGAGCTATCTACAGGTGAAAGGCAACATAACACAGCAGCAGCAGCATTTAACTTGGAACGAAAAACGCAAATAAGGAGCATACTTCAGCCTCGTGTCTTGCGTAGTGTTAAGGAACTGATAAAATTGATTTTTCAAAGCACTCCCCATTAATTTGTGTTGGTGTCCTCTGCTATTCTGTATTCAGGTCTCAGAATATTATTTTCTTTTAGCTTGTCACTGTAGGGCATTAAGCCCAGGAATATGTCTGGTAACTTATGGATTGATTTGAGAGAGCAGTCATTTTTTATTCAGCAGTTGAATACAATTGTGTATTATTTTAAATAGTTTTAATAGTATAAATGTTCAATAGTAAAATCTCAATCTGTGTTCTATTTTTTTGCTTTGTTATCTAAAAGATAATAATAATAATTGCTTACACTTATATAGCGCTTTTCTGGACACTCCACTCAAAGTGCTTTACAGGTAATGGGGACTCCCCTCCACCACCACCAAGAAGATGGTGATTTCATAGGTGCTTCATAAGTGACATTCTGTACTTATCTACATTTAAATGTAATCTGTCACGTCTTTACCCCATCCTTAAGTGTTTCTGAATTTCATCTACAATGATGGTTAATCCTCCTACTTGGGTATCATCTGTGAGTTTATTATACCGGAATCTTAGATTGACATTAGAGCAACAGTTGTTCTAATACAGGTCGCTGTGGTACTCCACTAATTAATGCCATATTACCATATTTCAACATTCACCTCTTTACCGTTATCCAACCATTAAGTAGTGTTGCATCCAGAAGCATTTCCCTGACTGTCAGCAGCAAGGAATTTGACAATTACTGTTAGGACTTTAATCAAAAGACCATCGAAAATTTAGATATAGGCCTGCCATTTCATATTTCTTTGTCCTCATTACTGCTGTTCCTTGTTCAAGGATGTTAAAGGTAACAGAATAAAAGCTATTTACAATCGTGTATGGTTCTCATGAGACTGTTAGAAATAGCTTTATTTTCCTCTGTTTGTATATCTTTCAGATTTGGAGTGGAAGATCATTTATGTGGGTTCTGCCGAGAGTGAGGAATATGACCAAACTCTTGATTCTGTTCTCGTTGGTCCAGTTCCAGCAGGAAGACACATGTTTGTGTTCCAGGTGGGTGTAGAGATTAATTGGATTAGGTAAACATATACCAATCTGGGAAGGCAGGACTGTAGAGGTTTTTTGCCTATGGATTCAGTGTTGGACATTTGTAAATGTTCTTAACAAATGGCACTGCCATTTGATGGTACAGAAATGGGTAGACTGTTGCGTTTTATCACCACCTAATTGGAGAAACTGCGTATTACCCTTTTTGCAGTAATTGTGTGTGAGAGTATGTGTCACAGTTTTGCACAGTAAAGTTATGTGTATTCTGCATGCTGAATTAGAACATGAGGTTACAAATGAGAGGAGGCTATATCTGGCCTAGCTAGATCTTTTAGTACTCATCCACCCATTTCTTGTATGAAGTATTGGGTTTGACCACATAACTTGCTAGCCTATTTCAACCCCACGACCCTTTGGGTAATGAACTTCCTTCTGTTCTTGCTTTTGAATGCATTTCTGTGTAGTTTCCACGTGTGCCCACAGGTTTGTTTCATTGTTCAATCTGAAAAGGCCACTGGGTTGACTTGGTGCCTCTGCAGATTTAGAATGCTTCTGTCAATTTCCCCTCATAATCTTCTCGGTTCATGACTAAATAGCTTCATTTCATTCTAGACTGCCAGCCTAGGACTGATTCCAGAGTAGTTATATTATTTTGGACACCACGTTACAAAATATACACCATTTTCTATATTAAGACCTTTTTGGTTACTGTTATGTAACTGTAAAAAGTGAGGCAACTTTGGTACAACTGATTGATTGTTGTGAACCACTGAAAACAAGTAAAGTTCAATGCAATGGACTATTGTCTAATTAGCGACTCTGGACAAAAGTGCAGTGTTTCACCGACACCGACAGTGTTTTGCAATTAATTAATTCCTGGAATTTTTATCTGTGACAAATTATATCTATCAGTGGCACCATGCATTTGAAATAAAGTGCTGCTTCCTCCCTCCTTGCAAAATATACAGTGCCTTCCCAGAGTTAATTGGGACAGTGAAGTCTACAAAAAGTGCCAGTGTAAGAACTAATTTCTCATGTAAAAACGTGACTGAGTAAAACTCCTAACTAGTTAAGCAATTTTTTTATTGGTCAGTTCAGTTCTCTCCTTCTCGGTCTATTCAACAATTTGTTAGTGTTGAGCCTTTTTAACTTGAGGGAAGAAAATTACTGGGACAAGTGGATGACTAGTGGTAACATGTTCGTCAGGTGTTGTGTAATTAAGCTCATAAAAGAGCTGTGGGTGTTCTGTCTGTCTGCTTTGCTTTGAGTTTGTTTGGAGCCCCTTGTCAAAAGTCAAAATGAAAACTAAAAAGTGTAGTTTAATTTTTTATTTGAATTTTAAAACAAAACTCTGAAGAACTAAAACCATTTTCACCAAGAAGAAAATTTACAGGTGATGACAGAAAAATGATCAAAAATTCTGAAACAGTCCTATCAGAGAAAGTGCCAACTTCCAGTGCAGGACTGAAGTTGTCAAAATCCATGTCACTGAAAACGGACACAGAGGAGTTTGAGGTTAAAATCTTACGGGCATGATCAAGAAAATTCTTTACCAAAGTAACTGGAGAAAAAAGTGCATGTGTTTTAAAGAAAACCACCTCCTTTTTGAAAAATGATGGAGATAATATCGTGGTGAGGGCACAAATGGCAAACTGTGGACCTGGTCTTGTAACAGACAATGGATGCAGTAGAAGGCAGACTGTTATTGTTACATCACAATTCCTGCTTAGAACAAATTGATATACAGCTTTTTCAATGCTTTATCATGCAGCATAACAGTGACCTAAAATATGACCAACGCCATCCAAATAGTTATCAGGAAAATACTAGAAAATATTTGACTGTCCAAGTTTCTCTGGATTTAAATCCAATTGAGAGAGGATTGAAGTTTGAGCATCCTTAGAATAGGTAAAATCATAACAGCATAACCTCTTTACCTCTTGAATGGTTAACATTTGGTAAGTTCGGTGAGTTGTGAGTGTCATGGATTTGTATGCAACCACGTATTGACCTTTGCATTCTTAAATGAACGTCCCAATTCTGTAATTCCTTGAAATTACTGGGTTGAACAATTTGTTTTTGTTCAAATAAGATCAAATGTACTGTGTTAAATTACTCAGAAGCGAAATGCACTTATTCATATTAATCTCATTTTTACAAATTAATTGGTTTAATAATGGCAAATATCCTTGACACTCTGTAACTGTATGCATTTTTGTGCTATTGAAAATTACTCTCATTATGCCTGCTTTGAAGACTAGTGTTTCATTATATTTATTTGATCAACAGATTCTTGGTTGATTGAAACGTAATGCTACAATTTAATTTTTGACTTGGATTTATTCTGTGGCTAGCTAATATGACTATTATAAAATATTATTTTGACATTGGTAAACATTCAGTCTCATAGTTATTGCAAAATTCTTGCATAATGAAACAAGTAAGTTTAAATCATTTTGTTTTTGGTTACTGGACCAAGAACTGCAGTTATTCAGTTGCACTTTTTAGTGTCAATTGTGGATTTATTTTAAAAACTTGGCAGCAGAGTATACATCAGTTCTGAGGAATAGGAAACATGTTCATGCTGTGTGCTTTTCTTTATGTGCAGATAACTTGTAATGAATGGGACTAATAATCAATTTTAATGGGTTACCTGAAGCAGTAGAGGCCCTGTTACAGTATAGAGGGGGAATCTTAGCACAGTACAAACTGCCTATCCTATGCTGCTTCTGCTAAGTGGCTATTGAAGTCAAATCTGCTGTCAATACTGGAAGTGTGTTTTCTGCAAAGCGCTAGACTGTGTCCCCTGTTTTCTTTGCTCCTGAAGTCTGTTTTTAAGCTCACACACATAAGAAGAATGCGAATTAGCTCTGTAATGTAATGCAGGTGTTTGTACATCCTAGTATCGCAATATGGTTTCAAAAGGTCCACTACCCACACAAAATCATATAATTGTTTTCAGGTTGCAGGAGTGCAGTTGAGACCAATAGCCACTGGTCCCATATGTCATTCGGTCTAGCAACAAGGCTTCAAAAGACCAGTTGATGAGATCCTAGGGCAGTTAAATGGTGTATTGGAAAACCATGTGATGAAGTTAAGAGCCATTTTAACCTGATTAACTCGAGAGCCAAAGACGTATGACGAAAGAACTACAGAAAACTCTACGACAAATGAAATTTGTGTCCCTCCTCTGCTCCTGTGGAGAACCATGCAAAATCCATACATACGGCACCACTATATCTCAGGACCCAGTGCTAAACTTACTGTCATATTAATAAGTTAACTTTTCAATGCGGTCTCCACTGGCGTGTGTGTTGCTGGCCATCCCTGTTGGACAGCTTTTTTTTTCTGTGCAAGGTTTTTGCTCCCTAACCGAAGTCCTCCTTTCGGACAGGCGGATGCCCCGAACACCAGCCTCATTCCGGAGAGTGACGCGGTGGGTGTGACGGTGGTCTTGATCACCTGCACCTACAGAGGCCAGGAGTTCATTCGGGTTGGCTACTATGTCAACAACGAGTACACTGACCCAGAGCTCCGGGAAAACCCCCCTCTCAAACCAGACTATTCACAGGTGGGTGGTGCAGAGTTCTTGGGGAGTTTTGATTCCCATAAATGTACTTTTTGTAGTCATCTAAAAGTTTATATTTTGGAAGGAACATTGATAATGCAAAAAGCATATCAAATCACAATATCACTTTGCTTTACCAAATGACTTTCCTGATGGAGTGCTGAACCTGGAAAAGTTTAAAAAATGAGAAATAAGCTAGGAAAAAAGTGTGGAAATTTTAGTATCAAAATAATGCTTACCTAATGACGTTCACTACACACAGGTGTATTGGTGTTAAACATACCTAACCTTCTCCGTATTTCTGAAATCAAAATCTTAGAGCTGTTATTAGTGTTCATCTGAGACTGCAGTTGGCTGGGTACCTGAAAGTTGCTAAGCCAATGAAACTGAAATCTCCCCATGTTAAAATTAAGTAAGGAGGCAGAGTTGATTTGTGATTTCAGTTAGATTGGGATCTTGTATATTTAATATTTAATTTAAACCTTTGACATACATGCACGATTGCTCATGTGGTCCCTGCAGCGAACATCACAAATACAGTGTGATTATGTGATTAGAATTAAGCAACACAATATTCTCATGATGGTGCAACAATCCCATATGGTTTTCAATGTTTTCTGTTTAGCTAGCTAATATGGACTTACAAACCGTTAGTCTTCTCAACTGCCTTCTCTTAAATTCGAAAGCTCATTGCAGAGTATCAATATTGATATTCAGGAGCATAAATACAGAATTCAAGAGCCTATGCAGAACCAAACTCGACTGTACTCGGAGAGTCAATCACGCGAAGTAATACGTTTATTCATTGCTGAAAAGAGGAAAAAAGAAAACGCAATGTTTTGGCTGTGGAGCTTTCTTTGGGTGTGAATCATGCTAAGAGTTTGCTATTGTAAACTGAACATGTAATCAGTGTGTAAGACATCTAGCTAACAGTAATGTTTACGTTTTGAGTGACTGATTTGTGACACAAATGGGGCCGCAAATGATAATTACAGTTACAGTCAAACTCCAGTCCTGCTGTGCTAACTGATCAGATAGTTCGTTAAATTAAACTCAAATTAGCCAGATGACTTTCGTAAAAATGCTGAAAAAGTAATACTACCTCACAGGGAAGAATGTCAGAATTAGCCAGATAATTTTGTCCAATAGAAATGTTGATTATAAATATCTGGGAAAATATATTTAGTCTTAACTAAAAACATGAATGAATATCAAAAGATTGTAATAGAAATAAATTCATCAAAGCTAGATAATTTTCTCAATGTGAAATGTAGTCAAGCTGTAGTCTTCAGAAAATATTGGATTGTGATATAAGACGTTTTATAAAACGGATAGTTCCGGTCCTGAAATTTGATTGGCTGACATGCTTTCGAAGCCGTGCTGTATTCTCTGATATACGCACACCCCGAAAGGAATTTTGACTTTTTACTTTGTAATAAAGAAAAATCAATCGTATAGTGTAGATAAAAAAGTTTGGATTCTCAGGTATTTGATACATGCATCTTCTGCTGTCTTTGTTGCACTCTTGAGGATCCTTGTGATTTTTTGTGCTCTTGTTGAATTATAGTGTCGCATAGTTTAAATCATTTTCATTCTTAGAAATTATCAAACACTCAGTTAAAAGCAAGGGAGGTTGTCTGTTATAGTGGACATAAAAATGAGAGCTCGCTACGGTGTTATTGGAAACCCAATTTTAATTGTAAAGCGCTGGAGTGATATCCTGGCAGACACTGAGACCAGCACCAGTGGGAGTACTCCTGCAGCGAAAAAGAAAATGCCTGACAAACTAGGGATTGTACAGTTTTTCAATGCTTGTGTGATCAATGGAAATGTTCAAATAAATGTGCTAAAGAAATAAACAAAAAACAAGTAATTTATTCCTTTATCATATTGGCTAGCTAATGTCCTCTCTTTGCTAGTAAGTTACTTATGGCTGTGTTTCTGCGTTGCGTAGCAACACGGGACTATATTCTCGGAGAGGAACGTAAACACATTAATTTTCGTGTTAAATCATTTCTTAATTAAAATCCATTGCATACGACAATCACATATTTGGGGACTGTTTTATAAAAACTTCGCATCGGGTCTAACAACACCTTTTAACTTTTAACTATCCACAATATAACACGGCCTCTCGTGCCTTATTGCTTAAGTAGTCTTCATGCTGTAGCGGAGCAAATTCTAGAACTTTGGTAAAGAATTCTGACTTAATTTACCAAAACATCATCACTCTGCTTGGGCCATTATTAATGTTGCAAATTTGCACATAGAAATGTTCAGCAATACAAATTAAGATTTGTCTGCACAAAATGTGTTTTCTGACTCATCCATTTGTGTTTGCATTGATATTTTTATATTTCCCAAAAGGGGTCAAAGTAGCAGAAAAAATGGAAAAACTGCAATATGGTAAAAATGGAAAAACTGCAATATGGATATATATTAATTTGAGGTTCTATTTGTTAAGGTGGTCATTAGTCACATGAAAAATGTCAACAAAGCATGCATGTGTTTAAAACACGAAAGTTATAGATGGGTCTTGAAATATTAAAAAAACTGCCTGGAGACAGTCTGGAAAAAGTCTGGAATTTATCAATGGGGAAAAGAGCACACACCCTATCAATGCCACTTGAAAGCTGGCTACAGTTTGTGAAACAAGGTACTGTTCACAGTACATATGTTTGAGGGGGAAAAGGGCTATCCAAAAGAAATATAGGGACAGACTATGTATGTGATAAGCAGCAGTCTAGCAGAGATCTTGAGAACTACTTTATTAGAGGTGGAAATGTAAATATTCCCTTAAGATCAGCAAAAAGTACGTTAATACAAAAATGGGTGTTTAGCTGCCTGAAAACTCTTCTTAAAAAGAGGCAACAAAACCAGAAGAATGACCAACAGATATGAAACTATGGATTTGCAGATTTAAAATTTACTGGAAGATCAATATTTGTGCCTGCCAGTATCTCTCATTGATCACTGAATATCTTGAAAGGAGTCGGTAAACAATGTCAGTAGCTTTCACTCTAAAGCCAATAAAGATGCTTTATTCAGGTGTATTTCCATAGAGTTGATTCAGGAATGCATCCTCTCTTCCTGGTGAGTGGACCTGCACAGCAAGAATATTTGCATGTGGCAGCTGCATACAGATACAGCCATTCAAAATGCGCGGTACGGTAAACTACCCACAAGCCACCGCAGGGCACCGCGGCAAGTGATTGGCTGGCCAAAATGACCGACAGGGGCACTCGTGGTGCATTGGTTGATAGTGAAAAGATTTAATTATTTAATCTCTTTACTGTGCACATATTAATCTGCTTAGTATTGAATATGTATATGGAATATTACCACTAAGGGGAAATTTTAGTAGCTGAGCATAAAAAGAAGAGGGGCATAACGCATCTGAAGGTAATAAACGATATTAATTTAGGAACATAAACATTACTGTATGTA